TTTCATTACGGTTATCAGTCATCTTACGTGATTGTCTAGTCATGATAGGAATTTATGACGATATTCAAAAGTGAATATCTAGTTGGTGTTGATTAGGTGTTAGCTAGTTGAAAATGGGCATTGTTTTTTTTATGTGATTCGAAAATATCAGAAGTTTTAGCTGCTCGATTACATTACAAATTGTGATCCAAATGTATTCTTTCACTTACTGTCAATTTCGATAGTAGCCTCCAGCTCTTGTTTTCAATGCTTGCTTGACTATCAACTACGTGATAGTCTGTTCATTATGTCAATGAAGCATGATAGTGCGTTACTGTGGTGACCTGATTAACGGAACTATGTTACACGTCTTTTTAGGAGACGAACAAGACAGCAAGATTTGTAAACCCAAATACGTCTAGCAATAACGACCACGATAGGCTCATTGGAAAATCTCAATGGTGGTTCACACAATTGCTAAATTCAAATGGTATGGAGATGATATAATTTAACGCATGTACAGAACAGGCTAAGATATACAATGGTGACGAATATAACAATTTAAACAAATTTGTGTTCGGACATGATCTATTGGACTACAGTTAAGAACATGATGAGTTTAATGAAGAATTTTTATTAGTTGTTGCTGTTTTAAGCCTTGTAACATTCATAAAGTTGTAACAATAATAGACGGAAGTGGGAGGTTTCGAGTTAATTGTGAGTCTTAAATAGATCCCTCCTGTTTCTGGACGGTCGGTAATAGTCTTTAGCTTTTTTGTTTCGTTCTAGTTATTTTCGCATTCATGCTACCACTACAATCCACAGGGAGTTAAGTCTGGCGAGGGGATATACTGGATATTGTACTAAGTAGCCTTTAAATTATTTATACAAGACTACTGGGTGTTGTTTTGATGGCTTGCCAGGTTTTAGGTCGTTTGATTATGGGCAAACAGTTTCCTGAATTATAAGCACTAGTCTTCTTTGTATATTCCCTGCAGTAGAAGACCTTCAGATTTGGTTTGTGATTTGGCTAGAATGGTTGAATTCTCACGTTACCATGGTGAAAGAACATAAGATCCCTGTTGTCTGTATGAATGTGAATATGTTTGAGTATGCGTGAACAACCCGTCCTACGTTTCCGGACATGGTGGTACTTGTTTGTGTTCTCCCATAAGCGGATTCAATTTTCTTGGTAATTTTGTTCTTGTTTATTCACCTTACTTTCGATTTCACGGTAGAGTGGTATCCATCACTTCGCCGATAACTTTAACGTCATAAAGTCATATCTTACTGCAACAATAAGTTATTTTTTCTCAATTATTTTCTATTTCATTTTTGCTACTAATTTGACGATACATACATAGTTTTGTATTCTTGTTCTGTGTTCATAAACACGTCTATTAAAGTATTTGCGTATCTCACGTCCCCATTATTTCTATTGCATTATTTCTTCGCTTTCCTTCTTCGAAGTTAATTCAATATTCTCATCAATTACCCATAACCTGATTTACTATTATTATTCCATTATCATTATTATTTCTTCTCTTTTTCAAATATGGCTGAAATTATTGAAACCTGTGTATTATTGCATCTTTAACGAAACCCGAAATGGTTTCTTCACAACACTTATGTACCCATAAGATGTTTGTGAATAATAATATTGTTATTTCCTTGTTTTTATACGGTACTTCACTGGCTTTCCCGATTCACTTCATTCAACCATTATTCTTTGGTGGTTTCAATATTTGCTTCCTCGTGACTGGCTGTTTGAATTCATTGAATCGACTTATCATTCTATGGTGGAATTACATCTTCATATTATTCGTCGCTTTTTATCTACTAACAAATAAGATCTCTCAAAGTTCGCACTTATTGGCCCAGGGCTTCGGTAATCTATCGCGGGCTGATGCAGTTACAGCTCATGGCTAGCAGTTGTGTTTTTTTCAAGTTATTATTCGGGGTTCATGGGCATTTTATCCGTGCATTCTTGATCCGGTTTTCCACCGTTCTACCATAAAGAAGACGCCGATTACTTCTAAATTAGTATTGTTAGGAAACCGAACCTTTTTCAACATAAAGGTGGTATATTCTTGGCTGTCGATAACTCTCACAACAGTTTCTGCCAGCATAAATCGACATGGCGACGGCGTGCCGTCCCATTTTCTGAGAACTATAGTGTCACATAACGCCTTTAGACATTGTGGTATTATGGTTTGGAGATATTTTGCGTCGTTATAAAAAACCTCTGCTTGAAAAACTTCCCTTTGACTTTCGTATTATTCTTCAAGTGTCTCAGAATCGTAAGAGATGGAATTCAACGTTGCACTCGTCGACAGTTTCACTCGGTGACTGGAAGATTTAGGCGAAATGTCAATCATCGGTCGTGTAAGTTTACACAGGTCTAACGACTGATGCTGTTGAACCGGTCCTTAGAGTCAATATTTTATCATACTCAATCCATTTGTGAAGCATTATTAATAACTATAATATCTGCAGTGATCTGTTGTCCAACATTGAAAGGATTACTGTGGTGGATACTTTCACCAGCAGTCTGGGCGGTCACAGGGTTTGTAATAATGAATTAACAACATCTGTTTTTCACTTCTGGCACTACACATAGTGCAGCATCGTCCAAACATGGTGTACTCATGAACGACGAGTGTGAGAATTCTGATATAACAAAAAGTATCATCTGTACCACTCTGTTGATTACTTTGATGGAGGTTCTATAAGTTCACAGAATTCAACCAACAGAAGATTTTGATTGCTCTTTTTAATCTCTATGTCTTCGAACTTGTTATGTCAGCATTAATATGCAGGGGTACCAGAGGAATTCTCGACTGTGGGTTTGTTTGCCGCACTTGACAGCATTTCTAACCATTTTGAATATTAAAGAAGCATTTCACCTTAGCTGTATCTGAATATGGTCAAGATTCCTGGCCGATATCCTTTCACCAAGTAACGTTTGTTGAAACCTATTACCCGCCTTAATGTATAATGCCTAAAGATCTATTTGTTCTGTGAATGTTTTACTTATTGTAAGTACTTTGCTGCCCACAACCCGAATCATGTCAACTGAGAACATAAAAGTTACAATGGGAGGTTTTCTGACAACTTTCCTTTGTTATTAGCCAAACCATGATAAATAATGCAGACGATTGAAAACATCCATATTCCATTCAGAAATTAATAATTACTTGACTAATAACTGAGTTGCTTCATTCTGATCTTGGCGCCATACCTTAATTAATTTTAACAGAGTCTTTTATGCCTTGAGAGCCTTGTAGATCATATTGGTTACATGTTTCGGAAGTTTATCTGCGGTCTTTATATTGCCACAGTGGTTGATGGAGACCTGCAAGATGAGAAACGTTTTGTATCTACTGATTTGTCGACTCGAATGTCCAAATGCCCTCAAAAGGCGTTAAGTCTGGGATAATCTATCCGGTCACCTGGATAAAATATTTATTTATCGCAGTGAGGAGCAAATGGAGTGGACTGAACTTTGACAAACGCACATAGGATCTGGTCATCATTCAAATAATAAGAACGAAAAATATGACCACTACATAAAATAAGGAAGAACGCAAACATGAGCTCATATTCTGATGTTCATATTTGAACGAGAATTTGTCACAGTTAACCACCACACCCAATCACTGTGCATTTGCAAAAAAGCATATGTTCACCTTTTTGGTGATAGAAGATCTTCGAAGCTCATGAACATGATGCACACTTTTCCAGCTTGGCAATTTCAAGTTTTGGTATTCGGCACTTGCTGACCTCGTTTTCCAGGTTTTTATAATTTACTGATTATACTGAGTTACTGAGGCAATGAATTTTAGCTATATTGTTAAAAATTAGTAATAAATTGCCTGTGAGCCATTGAAGTACTCGTTGATATAGAACCACTTAGCAAATAGCTTCTGGACGAACAGTCTAGAGTTTTATGCTCAGTCGTTCGCATAGTAAATTGGATCGTTGCTCAAGAATTATTTGGGATGATTTTTGTGCTTTTCGCGACACGACAGAATTTGGAAATGACAACAGATGAACACTGAATGCCTGGCGTAAAGGTGCCATCATTTCCGCGAGTAGGCCCTGAGTTTGATTCTATAGTTTAAAGTAGTTATGATCCGCTCAATATCATGTAAATATAAACCAACTCTTCTTCCGTTAAAACCTATTAGCAAGTTGCGCAACGTTATTAACCAGATGTTTATGAAATTAAGGGTTGATTTACTTGAGCATCTTTGGTAGCATACAATTTCAGCACAAACTTCATTTATGAGGAGCTTACAGTGGGTAGGTGATGGGATTAAAACACTTTATTTTAATAGTTGTTTTGATGGCTTACCTGAGCTGCTATTCCTACCAAGAGCCGGAATTGATAAAGTAAATCATATCTGTCTGGGTTGTAGAAGAAAGCCTTCTAATTTGGCAGGCATTTAATTGATTTACTTCAAATGAGATCTGTTGCACCGTAAATTGAGTTCAGTGATATAGGACTGAAGATGGAACAGGTATTCAGTGTTTGACAACGCTTTTACCAGTAACACCTTCTAATATAACCCTTACCCACCAACAGAAATCAAAAGACAGAATTGAGGAGATCAGAAGTTGTATTTGACGTTTGCAAGTATATCGGAATTGTCTGATCTAGTCTGGCTAGCGATTGCAGTAGATGCTGAGCACGGTGTTCCCACACGTGATCTGGTGCGGATGCATGACCGAGCGCCTCCAGCTAGGTGAGTCCATTAAGACATGTGGTCGGCATCCAATGTTGAAAACTTACAGAGCTATTTATTTTGGGGATTTATTTACCGCTACAGGACTATTAGATAAAATAGACTGAATACAAATATGTACGTCAAATGTTTGCTTGACGTCTATATTCACTTGTATATTGTCTAGAATGTTGATAGCCTACTGGTCTTTGACACTGTTGATGTCATCACAGAAATATTTGAAATCTACCCATAAAATAACTTTCGGTTCATTCAACTTTCAATGGTGATCTAATTTTTTCAAGGACGGGAGTCATTGAGGATTGTGGTTTTGGCGGCTTCATAATGACAGAGGTTCTACCGATTTCTTTGGTGAATTTCAATGCAGATAGTGGTTATTTAGAAGGTCTAGCACGTGGAATTAAGGGTGGACTTCTAAAGCAAGCTGATTACCACGTGCTAGTACAGTGTGAAACATTGGATGGTAGGGATTCGTCAATTATGTTTTAGTGTAATTCCAATAATCAGACTTAAAGCTCCACCTGCATGATACTGACTATGGGGAATTTCTTGCCAATGAACCTGGACCTTTGACTGTGGGGATCATTGAAGAAAGAATTCGCGAAAAGTTTGTGTCTGAGTTCCGACACATACGCAACCAAGCTGTATACCCATTATCTTTATTCTTGGATTACATCACATACAGCTATATGATTGATAATATCGTGCTTCTGATAACAGGGACTCTCCATGGAAGACCGATATCCGAACTTATGACTAAATGCCACCCTCTTGGAACATTTCTGGAAATGGAAACCCTGAATATTGCAACTAACCCAGCTGAGTTATACAATGCTGTACTCGTGGACACGCCTCTAGGTATCATTCTAATCGTGGTTTTATTTCTGTAGCTCCATTCTTTATTGATTGTATTTCGGAGCAAGACTTAGATGAACTTAATATAGAGATAATACGTAACACTTTGTACAGGGTATGTTAATCTTTTTCCACAACCTAATTCTGTAGGCGTATATTGAAGATTTTTATGCCTTCTGTAAGTCACTGGGTGGAATTACTGCGGAGGTGATGTGTGAGTTGTTGGCATTTGAAGCTGACAGAAGGGCGTTTATCATAACAATCAATTCATTCGGAACAGAACTCTCAAACGAAGATAGATCCAAACTTTATCCTCGCTGCGGAAAACTTAACCCTGAGGGGCTTGTTCAGCTTGCTAAGGCTAACGATTACGAACAAGTAAAATCCGTTGCAAGGTACTATTCGGTAAGTCCTTTTTAGCTCATTGCTATTTACACTGCACAAATGAACTTTGTTTAGCAGTACATAATAATTAAAAGTTGTATCGATTTTTCAGATGACCGCAGGTGGTACGAATAATTTTCTTGATCTCTATAATGTATCTCTGCTATTTGGTTTTGGATTTGTAAGGGCTGCTCGATAATTGTTTAGGTATTATCTCAAACTTCTGGTTAACGGAATATTTATCATGTCATTCAATCGCATTTTTATGTTCGTACATCAATCTATACTTTCCTCTAGCTAGATTTAATCGCAAATGGGTTTTAGGAATCCTGTAGAAACAATTTATACCTCTACATCACGCCTTTTATTTACCTTTGTTTATCGTCGTCCAATGGCTAATATCATTTCTTGATATTTAAACATACTGTTTTCATTATAGATCTTACGTCAAAATTATGATTCAGTACTATCCCAGACAAGCCAAGAAATTTGTCATTTTCAATAATTGTTACTATCTACAACAATGCTGTAACTCATTTTTACCAATTTTATCACTACTCCGATGCTCTCCGTCCACTCAGTGGAATCTTGCGGACACTTGTGATTTGGAATGTTATTATACTCAGATACCTATCAGTGCGTTGTAACGTTTTTGATGTAGTTCTGAGTATATTAACTTAGCTCTTGCTAACCTCGATTTATTTCGGTCTCCGCCTTAACTTTTGACATGAGAATTAATGCATAAAATATTTGATTACAGGCAGCTGGGGTGATACTAGGATTTGTCACAGTTAAGCACAACAGTGGAGTATTTTGCATTAAGGTTTGTACATGTCTTCAACCCACAGTAGACATTATCTCCATGCTCTTAAACTCTGTGAAAAAGTACTGTGGACGTCCAAAATAGATTACCGATTGAAGTCTGACTGATGTGGGCTTCCCTCCCTCTGAATAAGTACTATGACAATAAAAATCCCAAAAAAGTAGCTACCAATTTTCACAAATTCTCGGAAAAGCAGTACCAAAATCAACAAATCGTTTAGGTGAATTGAAGTAAATAAATAATTTTAAATATAGAAAAGTAAAATTCATTAGAAGCTAACATTCCTGTATACTAGTCGGTGAGTCGAATCCGTTGTATAAAAGATGATGATGACACTGCTTAGTGGGCTAAATATCAGCAGATTGAAACCTAAATAATTCCGACTACTGATTAAAAGTTGCAGCCTAACATTGATAAACTAGAGTTTCATAGCTTTATGAGTTTTCTAACCTTAAAAAATATTTATGAGTGATTCAGAGTGCTGAAGTTTTTAGTCAGTTAGCTACAACGTAGGACCAGGCACATATATGCATCGGTCCAAGTTGTCACAAATTATTCATTTATTTAGACACAAACATTGGTACATGGAGGCACTAAATAGGTATGCGCCACATAAATCATTCGATTTGTGCGAGGGCTGGGATACTGCCCGGGTGCCTAAACCGAAAAAGGTGGTTTACTTAGGTAGCCACATTCCGAGAATTGACTTAAAGATCTAATCCACAAGGTAGTAGAGCAACGTATGGAGATGCAGTCCCATGGTTACTGGTGGCCAACAATTGGTTCATACGCCGTTTGTTCCTTCAGGATACTGGACAAAGAGTGTACAAAGCAATTTTAGTCTCACGGTTTAAGGGAAGACAGGGAGTGTATACACCAACACCATTGTGATCGATTCGGAGCCATGTCATCCAGTCTCCACCTATTAGTTACGATGGTCACGCGGACCCCAACCAAGTAGTTTGCATCTATCAACATGACTCAAACCAGAAGTTAGTGACTTTATGGATTATGCCACGTTTTGGTTTGGCCACACTTAAATTTCTTCCATCCATCTCCAACACTAGTCAGCATAGAGCGCCGTGGTATTCGGTGATTGGGCATACGTAATACGTTGCCCAACCACCTCAGTCGATAAATATCCACAACCTCTTCAACTGGTTTGCCATCATTCCCTAATACCATGCATCTAACCTCACTATTACTTACCTTGTGATCCCAGCAGATGCGAGCAATATTTCCAAGACATTTGTGGTTGAATACTAGTAACTTGCGAATGCCCTGGTACGGCCGAGAGTGGGGTGAGTTCGCTCTCCCTCTCGAAATACTCTCACACGGCCGCGCGTATACAGCCTCTGCCAGGGAAGTCCTACTCATTGCCTTCTCGTGGCGGGGGTGTTGTTTACGAAAATGAGAGGACGAAAAGCGAATGTCCGGCGCTTTAACCGGATCACAAACCAATGGTGCACGTGGGCTCCAGTATCCTGCGGGAACAAATGGCGTATGAACCAATCTTTGGTCACCGGCTACCATGGGATTGCATCTCCTTACGATGCTCCACTGCCTTGTGGGTTAGACCTTTAGGTCAAAGGCTCGGGGAGTGGCCCCCTAAGATAACCACCTGCTTCGGTTTGGGCACCCGGGCAGTATCACAGCCCACACACAAACGATGAACTCTATGTCTATGGCAACTACTTTTCTCGCTCCGAAAAACAATCAATCGATTCAAATAATTATCATTACTATTATTGTCATTATTAATACTATTATTATTACTATTATTGTCATTATTATTATTTTTTTTCACACTATTCACCCTCTTTTATACTTATACAGCGGCTCGTCTTTGGTGGAAATCCGACTGTATCTAAACGTTCTCGAGTCACTGTCCGGTCGAAAATTGTATGTTACCATCGAATATGAGTACTGAAGCAGTTTTTCTGAAACCACGTGTGCCATTCAAACTGGCTGCCTTCAACGTTCGCACACTTATGCAGGTTGGTCAACAGATAGGGCTGGCTATGTCTTTGGAAAGTCTTAATATCGATGTCTGCTGTCTATCCGAGACCTGTATTCAAGACTCTGGTGAAGTACTACAAATTCGCTCTCCATCTGTCACTTCAAAAAGCTTGTTTTACGTGCGCTTATCCGGGGACCCTGTGGCATCTTCGTCTGGTCTTGGAGGCGTTGGTGTCGCACTAAGCGCTAGAGCTGAGGCAGCACTAGTCGATTGGATCCCCATTAACAGTCGGTTATGTGCTGTTAGATCAGAAAGTTCCATCAAAGTGAGAAGAAATCGGCGTGAGAAACGATGTCTTTTCGTCATCTCCGCCTATGCCCCGACAGATTGCAGCCCGGATGCAATCAAGGATGAGTTTTACCACCAGTTAACTGTTCTTCTCCAGAAAGTGCGTTCGACAGATATTGTAGTACTAGCCGGAGACTTGAATGCTCAGGTCGGGCGTCTAGGCACAGAAGAGAGTCGTTTAGGTGGCCGATGGGGACTCGTTGGTCGCAGGTCAGATAACGGGGACCATCTACTGCAACTTTGCACAGACCACAACCTGTTTCTGGCTAGCACTAACTTTCGGCACAGTCATCGCCGATGTGCCACCTGGCGTCCTCCTTCTGCATCCCAAGCCTGGACTCAGATTGATCACATCGCGATCAGCTACCGCTGGCGTGGTTGTGTAAAAGACTGCCGCTCCTTTTGGAGTACCTATCTGGACTCTGACCATGCCTTGGTCTGCGCCAATCTTGCCTTACTTTTCAGTGGACAACGAAGTGACCACCACCAAAAGATTGATGTTAGCAAGCTGGTTGCAAGTAAGTATCGAACCGAGCTAGCCTCTAGGCTAGCTACTACTCCACCGAAAAGTATAGATGAGCATTGGTTGCAATTGCATGACGCCATGAAAATGGCGGGGACAGTCAGTTGTGGGTTTGCGAAACGTCCCGCTTTTAAGCACTGGGTTTCTGCAGGTTCCTTACAACTCATTGAAGCCCGTCGGTCTACTCCGGGTGACCGTGAGTTTGACCATAAACGAAGGATGTTACGTAAGGAAATTGGGCAAAGCTTGCGTAAGGACCGAGAAGCCTGGTGGTCGATGCGTGCTAATGAGCTGGAAGCAGCAGCTGCATCTGGTAACTACCGGAAGCTCTCCCAGCTCATCCGAGCCACTGGCAGCAAGAAGTCTGGTGTGAGTGAAACAATCTGCGAGGATGATGGGATGCCAATCACTAACATCCATCGACGTCTTGGACGATGGGGAGAATTTTTCGAAGGGCAGTTCAACTAGCCTGCTGCTCCGACAACATCGGTCAGACTGTCCTGCCCTCCATGGCCGGTGACGACTGATCCACCAAACGAGGAGGAAGTCCGCAAGGAACTCCAGCTCTTGAAGCGTTACAAATCACCTGGCCCAGATGACTTACCTCCGGCTCTTTTTAAAGATGGTGGTGACTTTTTGACTAAGGAATTGACGACGTTGTTTACCAAGGTTTGGGAACTAGAGAGTGTACCAACGTCATGGAATGAGTCGATAGTTGTCCCTATCTTTAAAAAGGGTTCACGTCGTTCCTGCAACAACTATCGGGGGATAAGTCTACTTCCGATTGCGTCCAAGCTATTGGCTTCCGTCATACTTCGTAGGTTGTTCAAAACCCGAGAAAGATTGACTCGCGAGGAGCAGGCTGGGTTTCGTTCTGGTCGAGGATGTATTGATCATATCTTCACCCTCCGCCAAATGTTGGAACACCGCCATTCTTATCAAAGGCCAACGATCGTAGTGTTTCTTGACATCAGGGCTGCCTTCGATTCGTTGGACAGGACTGTTCTCTGGGATTGTCTATTGAAGAAGGGTGTGCCTGAGAAGTTTATTAACATCCTAAAAGCCCTATATACAAACACCTCAGGCAGAGTGAGGGCATACAACCACCTCTCTCCATTGTTCCATTCGAGTAGTGGGGTTAGTCAGGGTTGCCCAATCTCACCATTCCTCTTCAACTTTGCCATCGATGACACTCTGGAAACGGCTCTGATGGATGTAAGTAATGGTGGTGTGGATCTGTTGCCTGGAGAAAGACTTCTCGACCTTGAGTATGCGGACGATATTGTTTTACTGTGCGATAATGCCCAAGGCATGCAATCCGCACTTAATCAGTTGGCAATCAGTGTCCGTAGGTATGGTATGTGCTTTGCACCTTCGAAGTGCAAAGTACTTCTACAAGACTGGCAGGATTCCAATCCTGTACTCACCCTGGATGGTGAGCAGATAGACGTAGTCGAGAAGTTCGTGTATCTGGGTAGCTGCATAAGTGCTGGTGGAGGTGTGAGTGATGAGATCAATGCACGTATAGTGAAAGCCAGAGCGGCTTATGCCAATCTGGGCCATCTTTGGCGCCTTCGTGGTGTTAGTCTGGCTGTAAAAGGTCGGATCTACAACGCGTCAGTGAGATCAGTTTTGCTCTATGCTTGTGAAACCTGGCCTCTCCGAGTTGAGGACGTTAGACGACTCTCTGTGTTCGATCATCGCTGTCTCCGAAGGATTGCTGACATTCAGTGGCAACACCATGTCAGTAATGCAGAGGTTCGGCATCGTGTGTTCGGGCACAGAGATGATAATTCAATTGGTGTCACCATCTTGAAACACCGACTTCGGTGGCTTGGACATGTTCTACGAATGTCGTCCCAGAGAATTCCACGTCGTGCATTATTTGCCGACTCTGGGACTGGTTGGAAGAAGCGGAGAGGTGGTCAGTGCATGACATGGTGTCGTGGTATGAAAGAAAGCTGCAAAGGACTGGCTTGTGT